TAGTTCCTGCCCAGCCGGGCATGGCTCAGTGGTTGAGCGTCGACCTAGGATCCAGGTGATCGGGGTTCGATTCCCGTTCAGGGCACATGCCCGGGTTGCGGGCTTGATCAATGACTCTCTCATCGTTGATGTTTCTATCTCTCTCTCCCTCTCCTTTCCTCTCTCCGAAATCAATAAAGATATATTAAAAAAAAAAAAAAAGTTAAAAAGCAGTTCCCTATCAAAAAGCAGGAAGGTTGAAAGTGGAAATGTGATTGCCAAGGGTTGGGAAGGGGATGGAGGGAGAATTATTGTTTCATGGGTATAGACTTTCAGTTTTGTGATATGAAAAGTTCTAGAGATCTGTTGCACAGCAATGTGAATATACTTAACACTACTTACTGTACTGTACACTTAAAAATGATTAAGATGATAAATTTAATGTTATAAGGTGTGTGTGTTTTTACCATGATTAAAAAAAATACTTTTCTATGACAATCACAGTAGTTTTATATTTAAGAAAAAAAAAATCAATGAAAGGTGTTCTTTGATTTTTAAATGAGAGTCTTAACTATGCCTGGTTGGTTTAGATTTTGTGAGTATTTCTACAGTGTATTGGGCCCTGGCTGCCCAGTGGAGTGTACTTGGTGGCACTAAGACTTCCTAAGTAGAGCAGGGGGTCCTCTAATTTGTTCACTACCGCCACCCCCCCCAGCACAGCTTTCTATTGAGAGAAAACACGGGCTAAGAAGAGGGGTATTACCAAAACTGTTTGCTTTGTCTGTTTTTCCTTCTGGCCTAGGTTCAGTTGTCAGCTACTGAATGAGGGCGGGCACAGCAGTCCCTGCCCCCTTAACCCACCCTGGGCCCTGCAGAATCTGCGTCAGCTGCTCTGTTTGCAGACCACCCTTTACAGTCTCGTGCTGCTGACTGTTCTTTGATCTGTAAACCCCGGAGTCTGAGCCAGACTAGTTGAGACGGGAGGCTGGGCTGATGATCTCAGAGCAGCTGTTGCGTTGCCCTGCGGTGCCTTCACAGGCCCAGGTCTGACCTAAGAAAAACATGGGTCCCCCTGCAAGACAGGTGAGGGATGTGAACAGATAATTCACAAATCATGAAAAGCTAATAAATATTTGAAAAGTGACCCCCTCACTAAAATAAAAAGAACAGAAATAACAGCAACACTTTAGTACCCTTTCCTCTGTCAATCAATATGGCAAAGATTTTTTGAGAAAATCATTCCCAGGGTTTGCACACAATTACTGATAGGTAGGAAGGAGCCCTTCTGAAAGCAAGCTGGCAAATATGTATCAACAACTGTAAAACCATTCATTCTAGGATAGAATATTCTATAAAAGTTCCAGGAAGACTCAGGAATTCAGTGTAAGGTAAAGGTGACATTTCAAATGAACAAGGAAAGAGACTTCCATTTCCGACAATATTCAGCTCAAGATGACCTGAAAAAATCTTTAATTGCAAAAATATTTAGAAAACTGGGCTGGTACTGAGGCTGCCCTGGATCATTTGAACAATCTAAGGCTCCTGTTTTAAGGTCCAACTGGGGACAGGACACCAAGGCTTTAGGCTGTGTGGGTGTGTGGGAGGGGGAGTTGAACCTGAGTCTCATGAGTAGCTGGGATCCTTGAAAGTCCAAACCTTGAGTAGGTTCTAACTTCAAGAAAATCCCATCCTTGCTTGACTTGACTTTTGCTAAGGCCGTATCAAGAAGAGTCTTAGCCTCTGAGATTCTGTCCACCTAGAGAACACTCAGTTGATTCCCTGTGTTACCCTTCAAGCTGGAGATGTTGTCCTGACAGGCAGTCTAAGCTCCAAGAAGTTGTTAAAATAGGACATTAAGAAGAAGAAACACACAAATATGTCTTATCTATTGATCAGTTTGGCAGGTCTATCAGTATTTGAAATATGATTCTATTTCCAGGAAACTATCCCACAAATTACAAGATACTTATAAAAATTCCTGATCATAAATAACAATTGTGTTCAATATGCTTTATCTGTAATAGAAAAAAAAAAAGGGAAGGTGCCCATGTCCAAAAGGACAGAATGGTTAAACACTATAAGAAGGAGTGAAGTTGATCTCAATGCACGAAAATGGAAAGAATATCCACACAACATATTGTTAAGATGTTTTCAAAAGTAAGCTAAAGAACAGCATTGTCTGACAGAAACAGAATGCAAATGCATAGTCATTTCAAATTTTCTAGTAGAAATATTTTAAAACTTAAAAATAGGTGAAATTAATTTTAATAATGTACTTTATTTCACCCAGTATATCCAGCATACTATTTAAGCATGTAATCAACAAAATAATTAATGAGATATTTTACATTCTTTTTATATGTCTTTGAAACCTGATGTGTATTTTACACCAGCAATACATCTCAACTCAGACAAAACACATTACGAGTACTCAATAGCCACTTATGACTAGTGGCAGCTAGAGAACAAATTATAGAGAACAAATTTTATACATATATATATAAACTCCAAGACCAGCTATATAAGTATTGTATAGACATAGGAAACACTTGGAAAGATACATAAGAAATGGCTAAAGTGGCATCTTTCTGGAGTGGGATTGTGGGGAAAGGTGTCAGAGTTTAGTTTATAAAATCTATATTTGAATTTATTATATGAGGATATATTATACTTTAATAACTAAAAAAACTAAAAGTAAATGTTTATTTTCTTCAATGCAGTAAATCAATATACAGAAAAACTTATCTTAAGGAAATAATAAATGTACAAACTACCATTTATACTTATAATATATGAACTAGCATTACTTATAATGATAAAAACTAGACTCCACATCATGTCCAACAATAGGAAAATTATTTAATAAATTCTGATACTTTATGATAGAATGTTTTGCATAACATGGGAAAAATTCATGATATAATTTTAAAATTCATAAAGCAAAAACTATCCAAGTGACTTGGAATATATATATGTTGACACAAGAATTTGTATACAAGTGTTAATAGTAGCATAATTCATAGTAGCCAAAAAATGTAAACAAGCCGGTGTCCACCAGTTGGTGAATGGAATAACAAATGTGGTATATCCATGCAATGGAATATTATTCAGCCATGAAAAGGAATGGAGTACCGATACAAGCACGACATGGATGAACCTTAAAAACATTTGCCAACTGACAGAAGTTAGACACAAAAGGCCACATGTGGCATGAATCCATTTATATGAAATGTCAGAAATAGGCAAACCCATAGAGACAGAAAGTAGATTCATGGTTGCCAGGGGCTGGGATGCAGAGTGACTTTTTAATGAAAGTGTTTTGGAATTTGGTGGTGGTAGTGGTTGCACAACATTGTGAGTGTACTACAAACCACTGAATCTTCCACTTTGAAATGGCTAAAATGGTGAATTTTTCATGTGAATTTATCTCACTTTGAAAAATATGTATATAGAACAAGATCCCAACTGTATGGGAGTAAAATAAGAATGTTGGTGGGGTTATAAATGCTTTTAGCTTTTTTTCTGATTTTCTTCAGTACAAATGCATTATATTTTAAATGGAGGGCAGTGGAATAAAAACATTTAGAAAAGAATGGGCTTCTCTCTAGACGAAATCTGTGTGCTTTGGAATCAATACCATGTTCTCACTGTATTGGCTACTACAAAAGGCCAGCCCTGTCTAGCCTGTGAAGTATGCTCCTGTATATACGTTTAACTGAATTTACGACGACAAACAAGCCATCGGGTGTCCAATAGCAGAGTTGACTCAAGACTCTCCTTTTCCGTATCTTTGGACATTGTGGAGACAGGGTTATGTATTCACCTTTTGAAACAGAGCCGCCTCTTATCTAGCTTAGGGCTGGGGGCTCCAGCTTCAGAGCTTGAATTCTCTTTGCCCAGGTGGCTTCCTGCCCTTGCCTGGGGCTCCTGCCACTCTGCTGGTGACATGACGGGCCAACGCAGGCTTCCCGGAGCGGGAGAGAATGCATTAGACAAGCTCTTCACAGCCTTAACAAATGCAAGGGCCAACAAACAAAAGGTTATTCAACCCGCCTGGAGACTGGTCACCCTCACCGAAAAGTAGATGGAGGAGAAAGAACTAGATAATGGCTCTTCATCTCCCAATAAACAAACAGACAGAATCTGAGCCACGGGGTCACTGGGGTTTCTCTTAACCCTTGAATGGGTTGCATTTTTCACAGGCTCACAGGAATGCTGAGATCTCTGCTGTGCTTGCTTAGCGACCTTGTTTTGTTTAGATCTCACCTGACACCTTATTCTTCCAGTAACCCCATAGCAGGTGAATGAAAGAAATTCCCAGTATAAGAATAAAATTGCGCAGGCTTCGGTTGCCTGGAAGACCCCATGCTTTTAAGATATTTGTTAGGGGGGCCTTGATTTACTTCAGCTGCCCAGTTTGTTCTGACTGGCATAGAACTTTGTAGACTGACAGGGAAAAGAGCCCCAGAGGTAGGAAGTAAACAAATATGTTGTGGAAGAAGTTGTAGAGCATGATCCCATCTGTGCTTTGAAAATCTGTATGTATCTATGTATCTATCAT